TATTATAGGGCTGGACAACATATTCTGAATCTTAATTTGGCATGGGTCTTTCTCATAGTGCCTCTGAGTAAGGCGATTAACTTCTGTGGAATGTGCATCTCTTCCACTGCCAGAAAAAGACTATCTCTATCTATGGAGTCATAGGCTGATCGGAAGTCAATGAAAAGATGATGTGTTTCAATTTGGAATTCATTACACTTTTCAAGGACCTGTCTAATAGTGAAAATCTGATCGTTAGTTGATCTTCCTTGACGAAACCCACATTGGTAATCCCCAATTACGCCTTCCACAAAGGGAAAGAGTCTGTTAAATAGAATGTTGGAAAATATTTGATATGCTATGCACAACAGACTAATTCCTCCATAGTTAGAGCATACCACGACATTGCCTTTCTTATGGATAGGGCATACAGTACTTAAGTTCCATTCCTCTGGGATTCCATATCTTAACTATTAGCTGATGTAAGTGCCTGGCATATTTCACTAATTCTGCCGTGATGAGATCCATTCCTGGAGCTTTATTATTTTTCAATTTTTTGATAGCTTGTTCTACTTCTTTTATGGTTGGCGCTGGCTCTTCAGTCTCAAAATTCCCTTGAGTCCGGTCTATGGTCATACCTGCCACTTGTTCAGAGTCATTACTATTTAATAATTCCTCAAAATACTGCGGCCATCTTTCCAGTATTGTTTCATCACTACTCAATATTGTGCCTTCTTTATCTCTACATAAGGTTGTTCTAGGTTGAAAGTCCTTTCGACTCTTGTTTAGTTTTTGATAAAATGCTCCAATTTTGTTTGAACTTCTTAAATGCTCCAGTTCAATCAGTTCTTGTTTATCATATTCCCTTTTCTTCTTTTTATGCAATCTTTTTTCTTTTCTTCTCACTTCACGGTATTCTTCCATGGCCCCTCGAGTATGGTTCTTTTGCTGCATTCTCTTATATGCCTGTTTTTTTTTTATTTGTCACTTGCTCACACACTCCATCAAACCAATTCTTATACAGTAGAACTTGGTTATAACGTCATCAAAGGGACCTAAAAATAGTGTCGTTATAAACGAATGTCGTTGTAACCGAAATGGGCATTTCCACAGTAGCCTTATGTTAGTCACGTAAAAATCTACCAAAAACCGAATTAAAATGTTGCATTTTTTAGTGAAATACGTAGTTAAGTACAGTCTAACGTAACATTAACGTGGAATTACCCAAATGTGTAATATCAAAGACATATTACAGCGCTTTTCACTGACAATACACACAATATTTCACGAATCACTTTAACTTTCTCTTCAATGCTTAAAACTTTCCTTTTCATTGCAATGTTTTCGCTACTGCACTTCTCTGGGTTTAGGCAGGAACACTATAGGGTAAGTAGACAATGTGAGGTCCTGTTAGATGAGATTCTAGGAAAGGAATGCAGTTAACAACCTGCCGCGTTCTCTTGCACTATTCACGCAGTCCCACCCCACACCCTTGTTTTCGCATAAAACCCACGCTCCTCTTGCAGCCCGTGGTCGTATTCTTCCAGGACAGTCACGTCAGCAAGTAGAGAAAGTGAGGGTGGGCAGACACATCGAACTTTCCCACGATATCAGAGAAATTCAGGAATGAAAATGACGTTACATATGAGGTTGATGCATTTGTGCATGTCGTACTAAGCAAGGTATAAAAACAGTTGCTTTATGAGGAATTAGTTCGTACCATTGAATATTTGACGCAATAGACAAGGTGTCGCAGAAACCGATGTTGCTATAACCAAGTTTTACTGTACTTTATCCTTTCCATTCTTCCTAAGACTACACCAGCAGCATTTATAATAACATCTCTGAGGCCCCTCCAAGCTTCACTGACATCCTCACTATCAGAGAGACCTGCCAGGCATTCACCAATTAATCCAGTATATCTGGTTGCAACTCCTTGTTCCACCAATTTTCCACAATTCAATTTCTTACCATGGGATCCATATATCCTCCTTGCATTAGATATTCAACTTCTAATCTTTGATATTATTAAGTATGATCAGGGTCAATGTTGCCTCCCCTGTAGCTCCTGACAGCCATCAAATCTGAACAATGTCTTACATCTATCAGGATGTGATGCCACCACAATAGCTTACAGAATATGATAATTTCTGACTGCTACTTAAGTAACAATAAAAAAAAATCATCGTACATCAGCCACATCTACACAGAAGTGCTTTATTAACAAAGCTGGGTGCAACACAGATGTTCGGAAAACATGTCAGAGAACCATTTCATGAAGCATTTACACAGCGTTTGTGTGGAACTCCACAGTGATAACCTCATACATTCACAATATTAAGAAGCAATCAACACCATGGGCATAGAAGCAGCAAATTTTTGGCATTTCCTCTTGTTATCATCTGAGACAACTTGAATTTACACTGTCTCCACTGACCAGCAGTGTGACTGAGAGAGTTCAACCTACTGAAATTACATACGTTGTCCAGGAAGTAAAGACTGATTGGTGATAAAAGAATAAATATATAAAGTTAAAATTTCTTACATCATTACTACATACCTTAAATAATTTTTCTATATAATTCCCATGAAGATTGTGTGACAAGCTTCAGTATTTCTGCATTGTAGAAATATGCTGCCAGTCCATTGATCCAGTCTTGAACTATCTTCATTTCTTCATTGCTACCCATGTGCTGCTATGTGAAAACGGTCTTCACTTTCTGAACAAGCGTCAACAATTTGTGCCACCAAAAAATTGATGTTATCTAACAGCATGTGAAATCTGCTGGCATTTTATTTCAACTACACAGGCAAGAAACATGCAGAGAAAATATTTTCCCTGTTCACATTCTTAGATTTTCTTACATACATACATATATATATATTTACTATTTACACATGAAAGAAAAATATCTCTTTCAACCTAACATGATGATTTGGTTATGATTCATTTAGGGTTAAGCATCAGCCACTGCTTCTGATGTAGGTGGAGCACCAGCTGATGCTGGCACAAGTATTCCTGCTTCCACAGCTTCCTTTTCTAAGTCTGCTAATTGTCGTCGTAACCGTGTGGCTTTCAGTCGGAGTTCCTTGTCCTTCTCTCGAAGTGATGTTATCGTCTCCCAGGCTTTCTGTTGAGGTGTCTGATCCACCACCCAACGAAGGAATAATTCAGACCACAGTGACTGTAATGGCACATGAAGCAGACTTTATTAATGGGCTAATAATACCAGGCGCACAGCACAGTTACAGAAATAACAAGTTAGGAAATATATGCACAGCATAATAATTAGAGTGCACTTGCTTGCTTTTGTTTAGGTGGTGGTCTTCTGGCTTGTGATGCCATGTAGTTTTGTGGGCATACACAAATATTTCAGAAGAACATGCTGCTTCCATCATCAGGGTTGAAGTATGTAGGTTTGGAAACAGGCTTAGTTATGTAGGCAGTTACAAGGAGGGTGGTCATGGAATCCAAGGAGAGGGGGTAAAGAAACGAACCTGGTCCAAGGCAATGAAAGAAACAGACAAAAACAGCCATTTATAAAGGGCACACTGGTTTATTGTCACAGGTAGGAAGCACAGTGAATAAAAAGAGATAGACGTTTTCAGGGACCCAGCATTCTTTTCAAGAGGAAAGTGGAATTCTGTGGAAAAACGGACAAAAAAAGTCCTTTTCTGGGCCATCATATGTTTTTCTCACAAGTAGGAGATTTGAACTGAGAATGGGAAATTAACAGCTCCTTTCTGCATCCTGAGAATGGGAAGCAATGAAACTGGCAACTTTCCCTATCTAGGGCCTGAGTGGAGGGCCACCATTCAGGGGAAGTAATTGCTTTGTCTTTAGAGAGTAACTTCATTTCTTTCAGGGAATCGATGACAGTATGCTATGATCTGCTCAGGGAGAATCCATAAGACATAATCTTAACAATCACCAACAATGGACACAATTCCTAGGCTTTTTATATAATGCCTGGCAGTTTTAGGAACTGTATGAAAGTTATGGACTTTGTTTACTTCCTATATATGTGTGTGCATGGAATACAATTAATAAGGATGTTCAATTTAACATGCAACAACTTTTATTCTTAACATCTGAAACAAGACCTTACCAAACTCATGGGTGCAACTGATGGCCAAATGACACGATTATTGGGGTCATACATGGGGTTGAGGAAAGACTGAAGAATGTCTGGCCGATTCAGATAAGACCACAGACTGACAGTCTGTTCAGCCAGCTTCATGCCAGCTCTCTCTGCTTCACATGTGCCCAGGAATGTACCTATAAAATGCATTTGAAGGTGACAACATGACAGAGTCAAGCAGACATTTCACATACATTTTTACACATATTTTATAGATCACAGCCTTGTTACATGGACTCACTTGTCTCTATAGACAATAAAATTTAAAACTGAGCAAGCTAGTTTCCAAAAAAATTGATATTAGGTGTTTGAGGCACTGAAGGGTTTACGTTCCTCAAAATATTACCTACATAGTTATTAAGGGAGATGTCCTTCATAAATTACAAATCATTACAGCCATTTTAAAGAATATTTAGGGTTTGGGGCCCCTGTCAAGAGCCCCTACACCTGTAGCTACAAGATTCATATTCACCATAAATGTTGACTTATGATGGATACTCTAAAATACTGAATATGAACAAATTCCACCTAACCACTGAGATGCAACATCTTAAAATTACAAGGAAAAGGAACTTACCAAACTGTGAACAGTAGGAATGTTCAAATAGCATGATGAGGAATGAGGTCCTGAACTCAAAGCTGCATGGGAACTGCTGGTGAATCTGTCCCACACAGTCAAGGAACAGGAGGAATGTTGGGGCATGAGCCTTGGTCCGCCCAGTGCTGTAACATGACTTGCGATGGCGAATGGGGAACGGATATCCTGCCTGCAGCCACTCTCGCTCAACTAGTGCTTCCAGCCTGGCGCAACACACGAATGCTGTACACTGAAAGATCTAATTTATAACTGAGGTTGGCAAGGCATAAATCACTAACCAGCACAAACTGGGGTCAACTTAGCCTCTAACAGAAATGAGTACCAGGATTCTTTCTCAGGGTAAAGGAAGGCCGGCACATAAGGCTGACAAACTCACTGCCATCTGTGAACAAACTGTCTAGAAAATGTGGGAGCCTCGACATCTCACAACGCTATGGGCCTCCACGGCCTGTTACAGGAACAGTTCTTACTGATTTGGGGCTCTCTCATTGTTCACTGCTGATGCTGACTCAGCTCTTGCGTGGTTGCACTGTGTGGAGGAGGACAGTGTGTGCTATGTGCTGCCTCCATCTTCATGATCAATACTCACTTCAACCCTGAAGATGGAGGCAGCATGAACCTCTGGAATATGAGTAACACTGCCCATATCCACATGGTACAAACACCCAATAAGAGAACCAATAAACACGCTTATATTTGCATGAACTGTCAATGACATGAAGAGCTGACTTTCATCAGACTGCACCATGTCACATCTCAGAGGACAGAACTGCTATGTCACTGCTATGGGAACCTCAAATTCAACACTGTATATGGCATCCTTGACATAATCTTCTAAAGAATCTATGGATTGTAAATAAATATTAATTTAATTACAATTCTATGTATAAAAAATTATTTCAGCTGAAAATTCTTAATCACTGTAAATCTGTGTGAGGAAAACAGTTTCCATAACCATTTTCTTCTGCAAAGGTAAAAGGTAAAGTTGTCCCTGTGCTTAACTAATTAAGCACTACACCATGAAAATGTAAGGGGGAGTGGATGTAAAGATCCACATTTTCTTGACCTCAGCACTAGTTAGAGTGGGTTGTCAGTCTCATGCCCCAGCCTCTTTACCCCCTTGGGAAAGAGCCCCCCTCAGGACCCCATTGGATAGGAGGCTACATGGGCCCCAGAGTCGGCCTGGACAATGTGGAGAAGAGAAAATTCTAGACCCTACCAGGACTTGAACTCTGACCCCTCAGTCGTCTAGCCTGTAGCACCAGCTCATTTTCCTGTGTATGACATAAAATACTTTCAAATACGTCTCTAAATAGCTGTAACAGCTTTTTTTATATATATTGATACAACCAGTCCCTGATGAGGTCACTGGATTTTTCAATTGACCTAATCCTTCCAGCTGCAGTATGGTCCTGGGGTCGACTCAACCTCTAACAGAAATGAGTACCAGGAATGTTACTGGGGGTAAAGAGTGGCTGGTGCATAAAGGCTGACAACCTTACCACCATCTGTGACCCAATTATCTAGAAAATGTGGGGGCCTCAATGTATCACAACCCTATGGGCCTCCACAGCCTGTTACATGAGAGCTTTACCTTGTTATACCACTATTGCTTAGGTTCTTAAAGGTGACTTTTTTTTGCCTGCAGCACACTTGTCAATCCCTACATATCTATATATATATATATATATATATATATATGGGCTGTCCAATTTCAAACCTGCATTGTGCCCTACATACCTAACCATGAACAGTATTATAAAAATATATTTTTATATTTCCTCCAGTATACTGATACAAATACTGTCCTGCTATGATTGGCTCTGTGATGCACACAGACAGGAATTGGACCTGTAAAGTTAAAAAATATTAGTTAAAATTGATCTTGTCTCCGAGTACCTCGGTTTCCCCTACCAATCTTCATTCCACCAATTGCTCCACAATCACCCTCACCTATCATCTGGGGTTGGTACAAGAGGCCAGAAGTGGCCGCAGTACAAGGGACATAGTCCCACCCCACTCATCATCATCATCAGTAATCTGTCAAGATGACAGGTCCACAGTCTCTTCCAAAACAATTCCTCCACTTAATGCGATCTAGAGCTTTCTCCTTCAAATGACAGTATCCTCTTCTGTCCCCAAGGTCATCCAGCATCTTCTTACGTCTTCTTCCTCGTCTTCTTGTCACTTCTATCCGCCCATCTATCTTTCCTTCGATAGCTTCTTTTAGAAGGCAGTTTCTGCGTAAAACATGACCAATCCAATTAGCCTTCCGTTTTCTTATTTCATGTAGGATATTCCTCTGCTCACTGACTCTAATTAACACTTCTTCATTTCTCACATAATCGGTCCAACTGATCTTCTCCATTCTTCTCCAACACCACATTTCGAAACTTTCCAGATGTTTCTGATCTACTGCCCTAAGTGTCCATGTTTCAGCCCCATACAGAGCTATGCTCCAAATGTAGCATTTCACTAGTTTCTTCCTCAAATTTAAGTCCAATTTGCTGGTAAAAAGATTCTTCTTCTTGCTAAATGCAGCTTTTGCCATGGCAATCCTGGATTTAATTTCACAAGTACACCTTCCATCATCTGTTAACAAGCTACCCAAATATTTAAAACATTTCACATTCTCCACTTGTTTTTGGTCTATCTTTATTGTGACTGGGGTTGGTTGTCTCGAAATTTTCATTACTTTTGTTTTCTCCACATTCATTTCCATGCCATAGCACCTTCCAATTTCAATTAGTCTATCAATCATGCCCTGTAGCACAGTTTCTTCCTTAGCCATTAACACAAGGTCATCTGCATATTTCACAGTTTGAATAATTTGCCCTCCTACTTTGAAGTCACCGAGCCCATCCAGAGCTTCCTTGGTAAGGCATTCGCTGTACAAGTTGAACAGAATTGGTGATAAACAGCATCCTTGTCGAACTCCTCTTCCAATCTGCACACTTCCTGTCTCCCCCCTGTCCAGTCGTACTCTAACTTTCTGATCCATGTACAATTTGCTAATCAATCTTCTTTCATGCCAATCGATACCTGTTTCTTTCAGGATCTGCATTAATTTGGTCCAGTTTACCCGGTCAAATGCCTTCTGCCAGTCTATGAAGCAAACACACAGTTCTTCATCTATCTCCAAAGTTCGTTCCGCTATAATTCTCATCATCCCAATTGCTTCCCTGGTTCCTTTTCCTCTTCTAAATCCAAACTGATCTTCTCCAAGTACATCCTCTATTTTCCTTTCAATTCTTCTTTTAAGTATCTTTGCTAGCAATAAAAAAAAAATACATACCAGCTGTGAAAGGTTTCCTAGGCTGCACTGATATTGTACACAGTCATGAAGTCGTGCTAAGTTCATAAAGTATCAAGCTATTTATTACACGTCATGTAAAATATATTGAAAAATTATACAATATTTAGTAGTCATTTTTTGTAACAATTCTTCAACAACATCTTCAGAATTTTTTTAAAGTTAAGGAAGCATTAACATATATTTTGGGAAATGGAAGGGGGCTGTAAAACTCAACTGGTGGACCATACATGGCCATGAGCTGAACAGCCCTGATATAAAAAAAATTTGTTCTTAAACTCAATTCTTTGTGTGCTGAAAGACTACTTATCTTCTGGAATGTGATATCATGCAGTCTGATAGAATTTCACTGACTTTCTGAAGGAATATACTTCTTCTGTTTTCAGAGTTGAAGAGTAAGCAGAGCATGTAAACACATCCCAGAGGACAGTGTCCCTTACAGTCATCACTGTCAGAATCTGGAATCTCACTCTTTATGTTGGCTTACAATAATCAATAACAGTTATACTGAACATGCCATTGTAATGGTAACAACCTAGCTCTGTATTCAGGAAATGCTAGATTCAAATCTTGGCTGGATGGTTATACTGAGCTTCTTTGTGGTTTTCCTCAGTCTCTCCAGGTGAATACTGGGATAATATTGTCAACTGTATCAGCGACTGTACATGGTGTTTGGATTGGTAATCAGGTTTATTGAACACTTTCAGATTGTAACTACAAGTAACTATAGTGCTATCACTAATACGCACTCCACAATTCACTACAACACACACTAAGTCTTTTCAGTCTGCTGAGTCGTCACCAGTCATTGCTCAGTAATGGCTTCCAATGGCAGAAGTTCCCCTTGCTCTGGGTTCCCGAACTATCCCTGCACCTCAGCTACCAACTTCTAACAGCAAAACACCTCATAATGACTGAACTGCAGTTCTCTAACTCACGAACCAACCAGCTCTTCACTACCCTGCAGTGCAATGCACTAACTGAACTCAATGCAACTTGGTTGGTTGTGTGATGTAGCCTTGGAGTAGACCACAGAGAAAACACTGCCTCCAAAACTACTTCCATTGTTGTGTGCGCAGGATGCTGCCTATATGCCACAATACCTTGATTAAGCCACAATTGCTTTCTTTCAGATCCATTAAATTCATCATTCAACTATAATCCTACCACTCAATGCTATATATCTAGCTAACAGTAAATTGGGGGGGGATTAAGAATTACATCGCTCAGCATAATGAGTACTCCGAAAGGTGACACTGACTGCACCAGAACTTTCCTTTGAGGTGAAGAAGTTACTCATCAGTGTACAGGGTATTGAGTACTGAGCCAGATGAGAATTATACCCCAGTCTAATATAACTTAGTGATGATGAATAACTGACCTTCAACAAGCTTGGCAAGGGAATCAAGCAGGCCCTGATGACGATCAATGGGCTTATTGATTCTTCGCCATTACATTACATTACATTACATTTATTCAGCATTCCATAAATCCTTACATGGTTTTTTCAAAACACCATGGATATAGAAGTAGTCAACATGAGTAAGCATAATTACATACTGCATCACATTTGTGCAATGTCATAACAGTAGCCATATATAAATATTTACAAAAACATGAATACATGAATACATGAACATGGATATAGAAGAAGTCAACATGAGTAAGCGTAATTACATACTGCATAACAATTGTG